AGTCTTCACGAACTTTGAGGTAAACTTATAAAGTTTGTTCCATACCGGTTGGTCATCGATAATCATCGAAGTTGTAGTCCTAAAATTCATACTGAGTCTGTGAGCAGTAGAATGGAGATTCTTAATGGTCATATTATGAAGATAAAGATCGTTAGTTGGGGTGTTCTAGTGTACATATTAGTTGTTTGATAGTATGTCAATAATCTTCACACTATTCATACTGAGTAAACCAAAATGTTTGTCAACTGTTTTCCAATTTCCAATATTTGACAGTCAATATTGTCACACAGTTATACTGAAACAATATTATAATTTGAAGTGATCACAAAATATCAATTCATAAACTGATTAAACATGAAGGCAAAATGCGATTACTTTTATTCCAGAGTGTGTTTAGCACATGCAAAATGAACTACGCTTCAAGAACCTGCATTATCGCAATGAAAAATGTGAAACATAACTAATTATAATTTTTTTTATTGCTCTGAAACGTAATTTTCTAGATCTTGTTGGATACTTGCCTCCTTATTGTGTAGCGCCTAAACACGTGCGTGCACACGGTGTCTGTGTTCTTCAGACCTATGTTCTATCGAAACACGTAGTATGTTCCACCATCAATAAAACTTTTCCTTATGCTTATAAATCGTTGTTGACCTACTTATTATCACATGACTATAATTCAGTTACCTTCTTCCTTAACATTTTAATCTTGCATAATCAAAAAGCATCTAGGAACCTAGTTTATTTTGGATCCATCATCGTGGATCAACATAAATCATCGAAAGTACATTTTCTGTTGCTCTTACAAGGATCATGACGACTGCGGAGTAGGTAGACTTTCTGTACAGTATTTTGTTCTTTCTTTGAATTCAGACTACACAACAGCATCCAAGTAATAACATAATATCTTTGATTCCACTTAGATGTTTATCCTATCAAATTAAAATTTACCTTATTGCAGGAGAAACTTATTTATTAACCCTTTCTTTACCTAAGAAACATGTGTTGATAGCAAAAAGGTTACAAGACGGCTGCCATCTACCAACTGAAGAACACTGGGAGTTGCGCCATTCAATCTACTTATTTTTAACAACAGACAACGATTCGTTAGTTTGGAAAATTAATACAGGGTTGTCCATCATAAACTTCTAGCATATACAGGTGTTTCCTCGTATATCTGGCATTAATGAACGACTATCAGGTGTAGAAGAAGATGGAAACGAATGAGAGTAACGCCATCTAATCTTGGCTTTATACACTATTGCCATTTATCTTTCTCTGTCCAAATACACCATTCAGGACACATGGGAGATAACATCCTACCACCATATCCACTTAATACTCAGTGGATCATTTTTCAAGAAAATTTGCATCAGGCTTGACCCATGCTATAAGGATGAAACAGACATGGGGATCATTACTGGCTACAGAGCAATTGCTGGAGCACATCCAAAGTCTAGATACTTATTGGAGTCTTTTCACTGACATTTCTTACGAATACGGATCAAGAAATATTCTTATTGTTATTCTTCTTCTAACGTTATATTCATAAGAGGAGCGAATTTGATAGAATTCCAAAATATAGCAGACCAGCATCCGATTCCATTTTTACGGCTACAATGAGTCAGCAATGATAAAGTTATAGCTATCACATAGAGTAAAATATGGAGAGATGAAATCAAGAAAACAGTTTAAGCCTCACCAACATGGTCGATATCTTACAAAAGCTACACAACAAAAGTAAGTGAAATGGAATGACCATAGAAAAGGATAAACAAAATCTGTCATGGATATCGCAAACGAGTGACTGGGGCATTATTTGGTGGTATTGGACAAGGAAAATCTCTAGAATAACACCTTATACCTTCCCAACTAGACACAAGGTATTTGTACTAGTCCACTCTCTGGGATCGACATGGACCATTTGAAGCAGTTATTAAACGGTCTTCTAGTTTCGTTTCTGCTTTTAGTTTTAATATTTCATTGGATTCTATGATTGTCTAATTCATATTTTAAACAACCATACTTTTAGTTTTGATATTTCATAGGATTCTATCATTGTCTAATTTATATTTTAAAAGTTGACCTTACTTTTAGTTTTAATATTTCATTGGATTTTTTTATTGTCTAATGTATATCTTAAACGTTGACTCTACTTTTAGTTTTGATATTTCATAGGATTCTATCATTGTCCCATTTATATTTTAAAAGTTGACCTTCCTTTTAGTTTAAATATTTTATTGGATTCTATCATTGTCTAATTTATATTTTAAACTTTGACCTTGCTTTTAGTTTAAATATTTCATTGGTTTCTATCATTGTCTAATTTATATTTTAACGTTAACCTTGCTTTTAGTTTAAATATTTCATAGGATTCTATCATTGTCTAATTTATATTTTAAACATTGACCTTGCTTTTAGTTTTAATACTTCATTGGATTCTATCATTGTCTAATGTATATTTTAAATGAGAAAGTTATACATGAAATAAGTCCATGGAAAAATTGGTCGAAAATATTTTGCATCCTTTGTCCTCGAAACGTGAATATAAATGTAATGTTCATTAATATTAACTTTCATCAGAGCAAACTGCGTACTTAAAGCGAAACTGAAAAACAACCTGGTAGTCTGTATTGCTAACTAAATATACTTTTATTTAAGTTCCTACTTATAATGATTAGAATGTATTATTTCATCAGTTGGGTACCCTCGCTATTAACGATGTTTTCGGCTATTATCAGTGTATTTACAGTAAAATCCACTACTTATAGCTAAGAAGATGAACTAGTTCCAAAAAGCCATTGATTTTTATCAGGTCATTTGCTAAATAAAATTGTATCTTTTACACCAGAAAACTAGAAATATCTGCCAGATTCATAGCCTGATGAGAATACGTTATCATGACCATGATATAATAAGGTTACATACCATTAACACGGCCATGATATAATAAGGTCACATACCGTTAACATGGCCATGATATAATAAGGTTACATACCGTTAACATGGCCATGATATAATAAGGTTACATACCGTTAACATGGCCATGATATAATAAGGTTACATGCCGTTAACATGGCCATGATATAATAAGGTTACATGCCGTTAACATGGCCATGATATAATAAGGTTACATACTGTTAACATGGCCATGATAACATAAGGTTACATGCCGTTAACATGGCCATGATATAATAAGGTTACCTATTAAATTAGGTTGACAAAATGAGCGGCCAGCAGTAATTTATAAAAGCTTCCATTAAGAGCACCAGTTCCCATGCAGCAATGATGGGCAATCCATGGCCTCCTAGTGGTTAGCCTGAGGCACTCCCTGCACCCTAAAATATATTTCATATATATGTAATTTTTATTCAAGTATATCATTTTTCGCTAATGGCTGATAAAGTGTGTATTACGGTCTTACGATGTTTGAGGGCCATAGATTTGGCCCATGGATTAAATCAGGTTGCCCACCACTGCCCTGAAATATGGAAGAAAGATTGGAATCACAAATGACCGAGAGGAGAGTTATGTAAATCAATATTTACATTACATATAAAGAACAATTACAAAGAAAAATGGCAATGTCTAATGCCACTGACCTAAAGTAAAGAATTACATTCTTTGCATTTACTGTATGAAGGCTGAGTTCGCCAAGATCGTCGTATTCTAGTAAACCCAAAAGAGCAAAACGCAATTCAAGAGTTTTGTAGTTTATAGGCAATAGGTTGTCTAAAACCGCTGGAGTTTGCCTATGTAACTGATAAAATATGCATGGGTTTCGGAGCATGATGAAAATTCAGCATCATGGTTAGTATCAGGTGTCTAGAGTCCAAACTTTTTCATAAAGTATTTTTGTATATAAACTAATATTAATTATATGACGGTTTTTACTGTCTAGTAGGAAAAAAATTGGTATCCTTTGCATCATAATATTATCAAATTCAGTATCTTATGCTTACTTCCCCAAGACAGAAGTTCTATAAGAGATAGTGTCTTAGCAAGTGAGCTATGGTCGTAAGTACTAATTAGTACACAAAGCTGTGCATCTTATATCTTTGCAGCTAAGGTTGCAAATTGTCCTACTAACAGCAAACGATCATTGTTGAAAATAGACAAGAATTCCAAACAGAAGGTAAATTATTTATGATGTAACTGGATGAAAAAGTTATTAGAGACATTTAAATAATTTAATTTTATCAGATAATAATTCAAAATCAATGAAGACTATTTATAATCAGTCTGTCATCAGAAAGATAGGGAAAAGTTACTCAGGCCTACGGCCATTACTACTATTGTTGAAAAGGTTTCTTTTTACAGAAAGATCGGGTAGAGTTACTCAAGCCTACGGGCATTACTACTATTGATGGAAAGTTTTTACATACTTTGCTATTGGAGGTAGTTGAAAATACGATGTATTATTATTATTATACTAAAAATAGCCGTTTAACATAGATTGTTAACTTTAAAGGGGGAATACAAACTGGGAAAAACATGTTAGGTAGTCTGATTTGAAATAAAATTTTGAAAAAAAGATACGCTGCGTTCTCTTTTCGTTTAATACCACAATCAATACATTGTTTTGTTATTTGTCACACTTGTTTTTCTTATTTACATTGGTTTAGGAGTTGTCAAAAATAAAGCACAAAACTACATAATGTGGTATTTGTACCGTGGCTACCACCGGGATCGAAAACCGAATTTTAGCGTTAAATTTCCTCTAACTTACCACTGAGTTACTGAAGTGTAAAAAATAAATATCTGTAAATATAATCCAGCATTATTATTAGGATAATAGGATTTACTTACTTAATTTCACAAAGTCCTATAGCTCAAAATTTCTCACTCAATTTAACTTTTCATTGTCACTTTTCTTATTAAAGATTGGTTATTAGTTTTTATCTGTACACTGTTTCACTTGACTGTTAATGGATGTCCTGTATCTGTCATACAATATACTTAACATGTATGATGAAACGGTAAAATAAAAAGTCTCTCACCAAATGACGGCTCATAGATTAGAGCTATGTTATCCCACTTCAGCCAATCGGTAGCTAGACCCATGATAAAGGATAATGCTTTGGCTACAGTAACTCGGGGGATGGGTAACAAGTTCTTGTCGCACTTTCCAAGCATATCCATAAGGATGACTGGATGTCTCTTCCAAAAATCATATCGTCTACAGAGATCCTCTGCTTTTTCACATGTCATCCACATGAGAGTAATTCTCTCCCTGCTTCCAGTAACAGAGACATCTAGGTAAGCAGAAGAAAAGATGAAATTTTTAGTTAGATCAATTAGTAGCTCAATTAAGACCATTGAAATCACGGACATGTTACTCAATGTGTAGTAAGTTTTAACACACACACACGTGCCATTGTTTGGAAAACTGTTTGTTTTTAAGAATGTTCATTAAATTAATAGCAGGAAGAAAAAAAAATAAGTAGAAATATAATAATATAGGCACACAGATTAACTTTACATTGAACAAAGTCGTCTATTATTTTTATGAAACAACAGATACATCAAATTAGGATTATATATATATAATAAACTCTGAATTTGAATTACTTGGAAATGTTAAAAAATAGTATCGTTAACTTGCGTGAATATAATAAAGAACGAATTATGTATTGACAATTTGTTTGTTTCAGAATTTTATGTAAAGCTACATTAGGCCTATTTGTGCACAGCTGTTCTTAATTTTGAACTGATAGATTAGAGGAAAGGCAGCCAACTAACAGCATTCAGCGCCAGCTCTTGGGGTACTCTTGTCTAATCGAATAGTGGAAATTGTCCGCTGTATCTACGGCACCAAAGCACGAAGCTCGTTTTTTCGGCAAAGGGCCAAGAATCATAAATTTTCAGGTTCACAGTCCTGGCACGCTAACCACTAGACCATCCTGGCTCAATGTTAATAAATGATATAAATTTACTTCAATATAAACTGAAATCATACAGAACAAATTTAGAAATGATTAAGAATTGCAAATCTCACAAAATAATGTACACAAAAAATATAAATGTTGGACATGTTTGATCATAAAGAACAACTTAGAGTTTTAAGAATGGCATGGTGAATGTAATTTCAACATAAGATACTGAATCGAATTGTTTTAATCTAATATGCATTAATTTTAAAGTGTGTTAAAACTATCGATTTATAAAGGGTGATTATGAAAGTGTATATGAGTGATATCGATTGAGTTTGAGATTTTGATTTACAATAATTATGTCACAAAACAAATAGGAAGAAATTACTTCAAATTAAGATCAGAACAGCTCCCGGTTATTGAATATAATTAAGTTGTGAAGTTTCCATTAATAGTAACAAGTACGATTTGTTTTTAAAACATTAAACAAGAGGTTCGAGCTCTGTTCTGTATGCAAGTTATATTGTAAATGGAAAAAATTAAGAATAACTTTAATATATGCAGAAGGTTGAGTACATTATGTTAAAACTATTTTTAATATGCAAATCAGAAGGTCTCGTAACAACCACAGCCGATATAAAATGACGGTGGAATGGAATGTATAAGAACTATATTTTGACATTGTTTAGCGTTCATACGTAGTGTGTTGCCACTGGACACTGATCCTTTTTGTAATGGTAGGTAACAGCCATTTCCGATGAAAAATATTCATATATAGATCATAAAGATGTATCTACATTGGTGATTAGAATTCATAAGACGGGAATATCTCTTGTTCTTAATTGCATTAAAAAACAAAAAATATGGACCAATCTGGGGTACAAGGACCATCCAGAAAAACACATGCAATAGGTTACACTTCAGCCGTGGTAATTAAAATGCGACAAATTGTAACATACGAAAAATATGGATTAACTTGGGGTACCAGGACCATCCAAAAAAGAGGCCTCCAAGAAGTAATACCTCAGCCATGGTAATCAAAACGTGACGCATTGTAACAGAAGAGGGGCCACAAACACAAAGGTCAGAGGCTAAAGCTGTCAACGTACTTCAGGCAACAGTATGCAAGATAATCAAGAAGGATCACTCTCTGGAAAATTATAAAACCTACGTTTAATATACAGTAAAATTACAAAGATTTACTTAGAATGTGTTCAAAAATAGTGTCGTTTAAGTTCAATGGGCACAAAGCTCACAAAAAACAACTTAGAATGCATTAAACAAGTAATGTCCTTTTTGTTTAATAGAGACTAACATTACACAGAATCACTAGAACATGCTCAAAATTATATCTTCTATAATATTTTCAAGAATAGTACTGGTTAGTTTAAATTAAATTAAGTCACACAAAATTACTTAGAATGTGCCCAAAACTGGTACCTTCTAGATTTAATATAAATCAAAGCATATAAAACACCAAAAATACTTAGAATGAATTCAGAACTGGTATTGTGTATCTATTATATACTCTAAAACCAAACATATTTGCTGAGAATATATTCAAAAATGATGTTTTCCAGTTTAAATTAAAATCCTCTCAAAAAATACTTAGAGTTTGTTTACAAATTGTATTATTTATGCTTAATATACATTAGTTGTTGTTTCTTTGTTTCAGATATTTGTGAAAGCTACAATCTTATAAACTAGAGGGAAGGCAACTATTCAATAACACCTACCACCAACTCTTGAGTTACTCTAATCGAATAGTGGGATTTGATTGTCTTTCTTATAACCTGCTAGAGACCCAAAGTGCATAGGATGATCATTTCATTGCGGTAACGGGACACAAACCATGTACCCTCGTATCCACAACACAATACACTAATTAAAGGGCCAAGCTCAGCACTTCATATGCACTAAACTTAGAGAAGTACTTATAATGAGTTCTAAATTATATATATTAGCAGAAACGCCGCCATATGGGCGGTTGTTTGTGCTAATACATATATATATATATATTATACCCATCCCTGCTAAAAGCTGTAATGATATTAACTTCACAGTTTTACGTTGATATTGTCACTTTCAAATTTTTTGTTTTAGTTAAGTATCTAAAATTTTATCACAAATAGGAATAGAATATCACAAAAGTTACTGGTTTATCACAGACAAGTTATTAGGTCTAGAGAATCTCTTGGTAAACAACATTGTCAATAATTCGATGACGAGGAACCAACTTTGAGACTAATAATGGCTGGAGACGGCTTGAATGGGTAATGAAGAAAACTTAATATAACAGCAAATAGTACAACGTTAC